CTTGCAACCCAGGTATATGACCTTGCATGGGAATCTATTTCAGCATCCCTCAGGTGTGTGGGCTGACGCTCTTACCATTGAGACACAATGACCAAGACCAAACTTGATGTTTACTCATTCAGGAAAGATCAAGGCCTTTTTCTCTCACTAGATTGATAAATATAGACAACCTCTTTTAGTCGTAAACTTCACCACATTTGCAATCCACAATAGGACCAGGTGGTTCAGCACCCAGTGACCCATCATGCTTGTCAAAAAGGGAATCAGGCTCTGTAGAGACGGCTCTTCTCCCTCCTCAGTCAGGTCAATGGCTGGAGCACTTTGTTACAGAGGATTAGGTTGCACTAGTTTTTTCTTGGAGCACATGCTGACTCCCAGATGATGAACGCCTGGGAACTCCTGCAACAGAGCTTGCTCCATGTCCCACTAACCATGGCCCCAAAGAACAGAGTAGTCCCAGTCCTGCTGGTGAGGGTCTCAGGGCCACACACATGGCCCAGCACCAACTATCCCTGACATCTGCCCTGGGCTTTTGCCTGCCCACAGCCACCTGCCCAGCAGCCACTGCTGCTCCCAGCCTTGACACCTGAGAGGAATCAACTTCTCATCCACTTGGAAATAAGCCAATCTCAATACCCACCTGGAAGTTGCAGAGACCACAAGGGGCAGGTATTCTCCTGGATGATTTGGTTTTAGTCTCAGGGAGCACTGATGTCATAATCCCCTGTGGGTAATTGTACAGCGCAGCCCCTATTACCCACCCTCCACACTGACAGCACCAGCACCTCCCCTCCTGTCCTCTCCATCATTGCATGCTCTGTCCCATGAAAACCCTGGCTGCTTGTTCCCCATAGTTCCCTGGGTTGTGCTTGTGTTTACGTGTGTTGACTGACTGGATGAATAAAAAATATATTGATTTTAGAGAGAAATAAATGGGGAGAAACAAAACATCAATTTGTTGTTCTACTATTTTTATGTATTATTTGCTTGATTCTTGTATATGCCCTGACCAGGGATTGAACCTGCAACCTTTATTTATTGAGATGATGCTCTGACCAACTGAGCTATCCAGGCATGGCCAGATACAGATGGGATTATAAGTAAAATAAGCCATCAATGTACCTGGGGATAGATAGATTAAAAAAACAAACAACCATGAGGAGAGTTAATAATATAGATATTTTTCCTATAAGCTATTACAAAGGTTGACTATGTCCTTGTATCAGTTATTTTATAAGTCAAGAAAGAAGCACTGAAAAGGGCAGGAGGAATTTGGTTTCAGGAATGCAGGGATGTATGGAAACATCAAAAGTGCATGTTAAGAAAATGTATATTTTAGCCCTAGCTGGTTTACCTCAGTGGAGTGTCAACCCAAATACTAAAGAGTTGCAGGTTTGATTCCAATCAAGTGTATGTAATGGTTACAGAGTTTATCCCTGGCACTGGTTAGGGTGCAGACAGGAGGCAACCAATTGATGTGTCTCTCACATTGATATTTTACTCTCTGTCACTACTCCTCCCACTCTCACACACACAAAAATCAATGGAAAAATATCCTCGTGTGAGGATTAACAACAACAAAAAATACACTTATACTCAATGATATTTAAACTTTTAAAAAATGTTTAAAATGTGCCACTTCCCATTATTTTACTGTTTTATTAAGAACGTTCTTGAGCAAATTTGTTGCTACTGTATCAGTATGTTAAAAAAAATAAATATAATGATGTGCTACTGAAATATGATGTCTATGTTCAGTGCCATCATTTTGGCAGTTTGAACCTGGAGACAATGAGAGTATTTACACCAGGGAAATGAACAAATACTACAAACCTATACTTCCCTTAATGTATTACTGAATGCTTAGACTTAAAAAAAGAGTGGTGGAAAATGTAAACAATGCAGATTGAACATATATGGCACAAGTTGGCTTAAATTGAACACAGGATAAAAATTGAGAAAAACAATTTTCCTCCCAGTATTCAATACCTACGGTTCCATATGGCAAAGGAGTCACTTGAGTCATTGAGGAATTAGTGAAATTCAAACATATGTCTTAGATGTTGCACAGTCCTTCTTCTGGTTAAAATAATAAATTTATTCAAACAATATAAAAAAGATTCTGAACTGATATTTTAACAAAGGAAATAAAGACAGTGTAAATAAATGTATGAAATAAACCCTTATCATAAAAATTACTTAGAATAAATGGATTTAAAATGAAATAGAGTTAACAATATATTCATTTCAGGGGCTACTATTTAAAACAGTTAACCATTGCATGTGCTGGCAGGGTTGCAGAAAAACTGGAATTTTTATATACTGTGGGTTAGTGGAAAGGCAAAAGCAATCACCATTTTGGGTCACAGTTCTGCATATTTTAAATGTAAAACATTCAACTACACTGCAACAATTTGAGAAGTAAAACATGTCTATATAGAGAACTGAACACAAATATTCCCAGCAGATTTATTTATAATACCTCAAACCTTGAAATAACCCAAATCATAGATCAATAGATCCAATAGTACTCAGCAATAAAAAAAAAAAATCAAGTACTAGTATTCACATAAGCATTACTGTTGAATTTCAAAATAATTGTGTAGAATGGAGGAAACCAGTATTTGTTAAAGAATATACACCAAACAGTGCCTATAAAACTATGAACAATATGAACTATTCTATTCTAAAGGAAGGGAAATCAATGACTGCATGGAGCACTGAGAAAGGCACAAAAAGAGATTATAAAAGGGCTGGAGGAAAATACAGGATGTGGCAAAAGTAGGCTTAGAGTTGTTGGTATGGAAAATAATACAATAATTAATAAATGATGATACAAGAATAAACTTTTCCCTGACCAGTGTCCTCAGCTGGTTGGGTGTCATCCCATTCACTGAAAGGTCTCTGGTTTGATTCCAGGTCTGTGCACATCCCCAAATGGGTCCCCAGTAGGGGGCCTGCAGGAGACAGCAGATCGATGTTTACCTCTCTCTTACCCTTTCTCCTCCCACCCCCAAAATGAATAAAAGTATTTTCTAAATTATTTTTTAAAAAGAATAATCGCTGTGTTTGCAGTACTTTCAACTGTAAGCCTATTTTTGCCCCATCCTGTGTATGAGGTACAGGTGAATTTATTTCACATTTAACAGTTTCACAATTTTATTTCTATTTCAAGGCTCACCAAATAGTACACATCAGAAAAGTACTTTGTTGCATGTCAATTCTTATTTCCTGGGAGAAACAGCCTTGCCTCAGTGGCAGCAAATATTGGCAAGCAGTGAAGACTATTGCCATGGGAATCAACAGGAATGCTGACTGCTTACAAAAGACATACCTTGGAACTGATTATAGGATTACTAGAGGCCCAGGGCATGAAATTCATGCACGGGTAAAATCCCTAGGCCTGGCTGGCAATCAGGGCCAATTGGGGCCTTCTGGCTGCCAGATGGAGCCTTCCTTCGAGCTGCCAGTTGGGGCCTTCCTTCATTCCACACTGCCCTGGTGGTCAGCACATGTCATAGCGAGCGATAGAATACCCTGTCTCCTGTGCAAATCCCTGAGGGGACAATTTGCATATTAGATTATATCCTTTCGCTAGCTTTGAGTTCTTGCTTGTCAAGCAACAACCTTGAGGTGCATACCCTAGAGGGGCCAGCAGAATTCACAGCACCTTTATATTATTTTGTGTGCCAGTGATTTCAGCTATAGGAAAGTTATGGAGGTCCTCAGAATGTCCTAAAAGATGATACAAGCCACAGGCCCTGGAATAATTATGGGTTAATGTCCAGAAGAGGTACTTTTCATCTCGTTCAACTGCAGTCTCTTCCATGATTATGAAAACAAGTGTTACTGTCCCTATTAGTTCCACCTCAGAGATTCACAACAAATAAAAACAGCCTATGAAATTTCATACATAATGGCACATGGCCTTTCTGGAGCACGTATAGAATAATTCTCTAAACATTGCTGAAACTTATGTAATACAAACTTTAATGCATATTGTTTGTACAAGCACAACAAAGGCATCCTCTTCAGGGTGACCAGTGACCTCACCAATAAAAGAGGCACCTAATTTCAAATTAAAACCACAAAGTCATGTACACTTTCTTTTACAGCCTTGGGCAGCAATACGAAATAAGCCAATATTGGACAAATAGTGATTTTCTGTCATGCTGTGCCTTCCAAAGCACGGAAAGTTTGGGACCCCAACATATCCATTTACCTTTCCATGCTGACAGATCCCAACTTTCCTTTCAAATCATCCCAGGCAGTGAATAGAACCAACAAACTAAAGGTACAAAAGAAAAAAACAAAACATTTACAAAAACATAAATGGGAGCAGAGGACAGCAAGTAATTTGCAAGCTAGTGAATTAGAACGGAAACAATTCACCACAACATAATGTAAGAACCACAGTGTCCCTGACAGAGGCAGCACTTCTTAATTAAGGATGGGTGCTCTGGATGAACCCTGGGTCAGTTCTAATCCCTAGCCAAAGATAAAAGAATGAAGGTCCTGTTAAGAGCTCAGAATAATCTTAATTTCCTCCAGCACAAGTGAGAACACAAAATTCATTCCCCTAAGCACACAGGTGTTGTGACCGATGCACATTTTTCATGTGGTAGAGGTGAAATTGTTCAGCCACAAATACTCGCAGTGACATCAATGGGATATTAGGTCTGGGCAGGTTGACAAATGCAGATCCTTCAAATCTCGGTTGTACCTGAAGCTTATGAGGAAACTAGCATAGTACAGTAGGTCCTTGGGTTATGTCGAAGATCTGTTCTTACAGTGCGATGTAATGTGATTTCCGCTGTCAGTCGGAACCCACCTACATAAGCACCTACGTCACTCACATGGAGCACATACACAGCAGTAATTAAGTGAAACAGTAAAAAAAAAAAAGATAACAATTCTTGATCTTTATTTGTGGTAAATAAATGATAGAAAACATAAAGCACATATGTACATACATCAAAACAACGGAACTTTTTTTTTTATAAATACTGTAAATGGGAGATGGTGACGTAACCATGAAATGATGTACATTGAGTCTGACGTAACCTGAGGACTGCCTGTATATCTTCCTAAAAAAGGAGCTTATATTCAGTAAATGGGTCCCAAAGTATCTCTTTCAGTATTGCCATTCTGAGTGAGAAAGATAAAATATGATCTGGATATTTAAGCCTTTTCTCCAGTGTGAACTCTCAGATGTCTAATCAGGCTATGTTTCTGGCTAAAATATTTCTTACATAAACTACACTCAAAGGGTTTTTCTCCAGTGTGAACTCTGTGGTGTTGAATGAGGTTAGAGCTTTGACTGAATGACTTCCCGCAATCACTACATTGATATGGCTTTTCTCCAGTGTGAACTCTCTGATGCTCAGTGAGACTACAGAACTGCATGAAAGACTTCCCACAATCACTACACTCATATGGCTTTTCTCCTGTATGAACTCTGTGGTGTTTAATGAGGGCAGAGCTCTGACTAAAGGACTTTCCACAATCACTACACTCATATGGCTTTTCTCCAGTGTGAACTCTGTGGTGTTTTAGGAGGTTAGAGCTATGACTGAAGGACTTTCCACATTCACTACATTGATATGGCTTTTCCCCCATATGAATTCTCTGGTGCTCAGTGAGAGCAAAGATTTGCCTGAAAGACTTTCCACAATCACTACACTCATATGGCTTTTCTCCAGTGTGAACTCTGTGGTGTTTAATGAGGGTAGAGATCAGACTGAAGGACTTCCCACAATCACTACACTCATATGGCTTTTCTCCAGTATGAACTCTGTGGTGTTTAATAAGGGAACAGTTCTGACTGAAGGATTTCCCACAATCACTGCACTCATATGGCTTTTCTCCGGTGTGAACTCTGTGGTGTTGGATGAGGTTAGAGTTTTGACTGAAGGATTTCCCACAATCACTACATTGATATGTTTTTTCTCCAGTGTGAACTCTCTTCTGGTTAAAGAGGTAATTACTGCACCTAAGCGATTTCCCACATTCACTAAACTCAAAAGATTGTTCTCCAGTATGAACTCTATGATGTTTAGTGAGGGAAGATCTTTGATGGAAGAGCTTCCCACAATCAGTACACTCATAGGACATAATTCCAGTGTGAACTCGCTGATGTTGAGTGAGATTAATGATACATCTAAAAACTTTCCCACATTTGTTACACTCATATTTCACTTCACCAGAGCAGACACCCTGATGTTGAACAAATTTATATCTGTGGCTTGCAGCACTTTCATGTTTGTTCCACTGATGATGACTTTTTACATTGTGAAATTTCTGTGAAATCTCATTGCCCCTGTGAGGCTCCTCAGTGTTAAGAGATGCCTGGGGCTGCAACAACCCTGAGCTGGCTGGCCAGTCTTTCCCAGCCTCCCCAGTGGTTGAAGGCACCCCTGACAAGTAGAAGCTGCACCTGGTCACAAACAAGTCCCTGTCCATAGCTTCTTTCCAGGACTTCTCTCCACTGGTATCCCTCTGTTGCTGGTGATGGTTTGCATTGGAACAGAAGTTTCTCACACATGTGTCACTGAAGAAGGCTTTCTGCTCAAAGTATGCTGCTTGTGACTCAGTCAGTTGAATATCTTTTAAAACTGAGAAACAATGCTTACAGAGGTGGGTCTTCTGGGTTGGTGGCACTGTCTTAGAAGCCATGAATTTTGACTCCACTTGTACAGAAACACTCCCATCAGAACATTCCTCCTCCTCTTCTTTTTTATGCCAACAACCTGCAAACAGAAAAATGGTGAGGAAATGAAAGTTGACTGTGGCGACAGGGGGAAGACCCATTACTAAACTGTGTTGCTCATATTACCTTGGCTTCATGCAACTGGATGAAAATAAAAGATTTGCAGGAAGGATTTACAAGATGAAGCTATGAAGTTCTGGGCTACTGAAGTTCAAAAACAAGGAGGACCTCAAACAAAATATGATACATACGTGACAAGTGCCACATGGAACAGAAGAGGTATCACAGAGTCATTCTTTTGCCAACAGAATTCAGCAGGGTTTGTTTGCTGGTGACATGGGTAAGTTGTGCAGAATGTTGGTTACAGAGAGAGTGAGGATGGTGGCCAGCAGGATGGCTGTGAGGGAGCAAAAGGGAAGTGTGTGGATATATGAGGGCAGTTAGATCTCCAGGAGTCTCAGGAGCCTGAAGACTGGGCTCCCCTAGAAGGGGAACCCCTGCTACTGCTGCAAGCACTCCTGGGCAGCCAACTCTGGCTCAGAAACCACGCCATCTTGAAGGGGACAGCTGCTAAGACTAGGAGCCTATCCCTACTACCACTGAGACTGGCCTCAAACACCACCTGGGACCCTATAGCCACTCTAGCCAAAGACCTGCTATTTCAGCTGCAGACGCACAAACACAAGGACTGCAGCTTTCCTGGCCACAGGCTCCTGTGAGTCCCAGAGTGTGCAACACTCTCACCAACTCACCACTTCAGCCACGGCCCCCTCGCGTCCCAGCGCCTGGATTCTCTGGTGACTCTCAGATGTGCGACCCTCCCACCAAGCCCTCCACTTCAGCCATAGGCCCCTCAGGACTCTGCGCCTGGACCCTTAAGTAAGAGCAAAAATGGGGAGACAAAGTAACAAACCCAAATGAAAGAAAAGGAGGAATGAATAGAAAAGGAACTAAATAAAATAGAGGCATGCAATATGTCAGAAAAAGATTTCATAGTAAGAGCCATACAGTTCATAAAATGGATGGATGAGAAAACCAACAACTTATGTAAGAATCAAAAGGAAATCAAGAATGATTTAACTACAATAAAAAACACAATGGAAACTTTCAACATTAGATTAGAAGAAGCGGAGGATTGAATTAGTGAGTTGGAAGAAAGGCCAGAAAAACACACCCAATCTGAGCAGCAATTGGATAAAAATATTAGAAAGCAGGAGTAGAGCCTAAGGGAGCTTTGGGACAACAGGAAACAAAGTAACATGTATAATAGGAGTGCCAAAAGGAGAAGAGAGGAGCAAGGATTAGAAAGCATATTTGAAGAAATAATAACAGAAGACTCCAAATTTGGGATGGAAAAGTCACACAAGCACAGAGAGTTCCAAACAAGATGAACCCAAAAGCCACACACCAAGACATGTCAAAATTACAATGGCAAATGTTACCAACAAAGAGAGAATCTTAAAGGCTGTCAGAGAAAGAGAGAGAGACAAAGAGTTACCTACAAAGGATCTCAAACTAGATTATCAAATGATTTCTCAACAGAAATACATCAGGCTAGAAGGGAATGGAATGAAGTATAAAAAGTGACTCAAAGCAAGGCTTTGAATCCAAGAATACTCTACCCAGCAAGGCTATCATTCAAAATTGAAGGGGAAATAAGGAGTTTCACAGACAAAAAAAGGCTAAGGGAGTTTATTACCAACAAGCCAGCAATGCAAAAAATGCTAAAGGGATTGTTGTAAAAAGAAGAAATAGAAAGGGAAGAAGAAATACAGGCATAAAGAATAAAAATGGCTACAAACATGTACCTATCAATAATAACCTTAAACATAAACATAAATGGACTAAATGCTCCAATCAAAAGACACAGAGTGGCTGAATGGATAAGAAAACATGACCCATATATATGTTGTCTACAAGAGATCCACCTCAGAACAAAGGATTCACATAGACTAAAAGTGAAGGGTTGGAAAAATACCTTTCAGGCAAATGGAAATGAAATAGAAAGCTGGGATAGCAATACTTATATCTGACAAAATAGACCTCAAACTGAAGGCCATAACAAGAGATAAGAAAGGCTACTTCATAATACTAAAGGCATCCATACAAAGAGGATATAACTTTGGTAAACATATATGCACCCAATGCAGGAGCACCCAAATCCATAAAAAAACTTCTGGAAGATATCAAGGGAGAGATCGATGCCAATACAATCATAGTAGGGGACTTTAATATCCCATTGATATCACTGGATAAATCCTCTAGAAAAAAAATGAGCAAAGAAACGGAAATCCTAAACGACTCACTAGATCACATGGACTTAATTGACATCTTTAGATCATTTCACTCCAAAGCTACAGAAAATACATTCTTCTCAAGTGCACATGGGACATTTTCAAAGATAGGCCACATACTGGGACACAGGCAAAGTCTCTTCAAATTCAAGAAGATTGATATCATATCAATCATCTTTTCAGATCATAATGGCATAATATTAGAAATAAACTACAATAAAACCAATTTAAAAATTCAAACACGTAGAAGCTATACAGCATGTTATTAAACAATGACTGGGTTACCAAAGAGATCAAAGAAGAAATAAAAAACATCCTGGAAATAAATGACAATGAAAACACAACAATTCAAAATCTACGGGACATAGTGAAAGCATTCCTGACAGGGAAGTTCATACATAGCATTACAGGCCTAGTTCAAAAAACAAGAAAAGCTGGTAATAAGTTATATAACTCTAAAACTTGAAGAATTAGAAAGAGAGCAACAAGAAAAGCCCAGAGTGAACAGAAGGAAGGAAATAATAAAGAGAGTGAAAATAAATGACATAGAGAACAACAACAAAAAAATACAAAAGATCAATAAAACCAAGAGCTGGTTCTTTGAAAGGATAAACAAGATTGATGAACCTCTAGCCAGCTTCACCAAGAAGCAAACAGAGGATCCAGATTAAAAAAAAAATCAGAAATGAAAGAGGCAAAATAACAACAGAACCCACAGAAATACAAAGGATTGTTAAAAAAAACACTATGGACAACTCTATTCCAACAAACTTGTCAACCAAGAAGAAATGGACATATTCCTCAAAGTGGATAACAGGCTTAAACGTAAGATGGAATATCATAAAAATCTTAGAAGAATCCATATGCAGCAAAATATCAGACATATGTCATAGCAATATCTTTAACAAAACAGCTCCTAGGGCAATGGAAACGAAGGAGAAAATAAACACATGGGACTACATCAAAATAAAAAGCTTCTGCACAGCAAAAGAAACCATAAACAAAACAAGAAAGCCCACTGCATGGAAGAACATATTTGCCAATGTTAACTCCGATAAGGATTTAATCTCCAACATATAACTTAACAAAAGGAAGATAAACAATCGAATCAAAAATGGGCAAAGGACTTAAATAGACACTTTTTGAAAGTGTACATATAGAAGGCCAAGAGACATATGAAAACATGCTCAAAGTCACTAATCATCCGAGAGATGCAAATCAAAATGACAATGAGATACCATCTCACACCTGTAAGAATGGCTATCTTCAACAAATCCACAAATGACAAGTGCTGACGAGGATGTGGGGGAAAAAGGAACCCTCGTGCGCTGCTGGTGGGAATGCAGACTGGTGCTGCAACTGTGGAAAACAGTATGGAGTTTCCTCAGAAAGTTTAAAATGGAGCTCCCATTTGACCCAGTAATCCCACTTCTAGGAATATATCCCAAGAAATCAGAAACACCAATCAGAGAGGATATATGCACTCCTATGTTCATAGCAGCACAATCTACAATAGCTAATATTTGGTAATAGCCTAAGGGCCCATCAGCAGATGAGTGGATTAAAAAACTGTGGTACATCTACAAAATGGAATACTACACTGTTATAAAAAAAGAAAGACCTATTACCATTTACAACAGCATGAGTGGACATGGAGAGCATTATGCAAAACGATATAAGCCAGTTGGAGAAAGAAAAATATCACATGATCTGACTCATTTGTGGAATATAATGAAAAACATAAAATTGATGAACAAAAATAGATCCAGAGATAGAGAAGCATTGAACAGACCTTCAAACCTCAGAGGGAAGGCAGGGGGAGGGGAGGACTAAGAGATCAACCAAAGGACTTGTATGCTTGCATTTAAGCATAACGAATGGACACAGACACTAGGGGTTGAAGGCATGTACTGGGTGGTGGGAGTGGCCAGGGAGAGGTCAATGGGGGTAAAAGGAGACACACATAATATTTTATGTAATATTTTAAACAATAAAGAATTTTTAAAAAGAATGTTAGTTACATCTTATTTCAAGTATCCTATATAATAAAAGCCCAGGCGTCACAACCAGAACGACCGATCAACCAGTCGCTATGAGGTGCACTGACCACCTCTCAGTCCCTCCCTGCAGCCCGCAGGCTTCCATTGCTGGATGGCCACCATGGAACCACGGGGAACTGGGCTGGGTGGCAGCCGAGTAGGACCCGGAACTGGCGAGCGGGCGGAAGGTAGACCTCTTGGTCCTTCCCCCCGGCTGAGAGGCTCCGATTGATTGATCCTAAGTTTCTTCCGAAAGGAACATGGTGCCTCCACTGCACAGCCTCCTAGGATGTGGACTCACCACTGTGAGATGCTATGGAGTGGAGACTTCAATAAGGACTGCAGCGCCTGCAGGGACCCTCAGCCTTCACTGGGGGGAGGTGGATGGAGAAATCAGCTTCAAAGCAGAAACACCCTCCTCAGGAATAATCCGCCTCTTCCCTACTCCACAGCCACTTCCACGTCTGCAAGAAACTGCGCATGCTCCTCCCTGTGGGATGGGCGGGGCCAGAGCTTGAGCTGAGTGGTTCTGCGATGGAGGAGGGGCCGAGCCAGGCCGCTGGGCCAGTACAGGGATGGAGGGTAGGAGGTTGGGGCAGGAGCAAGGGGGCAGCCCTGGTTGCCTGCACCTCCTCCCACAGGCATAGCCCTTCCTGGTTGAGTTTCCCACGTTAGGGTTTTGGCTGATGACGCCAGCTATGAAAGGATTCACAAGGGAGAGAAGAGACAGGTACAGAGAGAGGGCGTTTATTTTACTTATTTAAAGGGAGCAAAGGGCCAGGTGTCTTTTGATGGCACGAGAGGGCTGTTCTTTTAATCGCTGGATGGCGAACGAGGAACCGGGGTGGGTGGCGGTGGCAGTGGCAGGGGCTGGACTGGGGACTGGCAGCGGCGGGGCTAGGCCTAGAGGTCTTACCCGTGCATGATTTCGTGTGCTGGGCTTCTAGTATTTCAATAAATGGATAGGTTTTGTTTGAGGTCTACTTAAAAATATATACGCACCTCATAATACCTATGGAGGTCAATGTTGAAGAATACTGCAGAGAAAGACTTGCAGGGGAACACGTGATGCAAAAAGACCACAAAAGTGAAGGTAGACAAAAGTCAGAAAGTCAAAGATGAAATGACAAGTCAGCAACATGTCAAAGATGGGAAAGAAAAGGTAGAAATGAGCTGTCGCCAGTGGCACTTGCAACTAAACACTGTGGGAAATGAGCAGGTCCCTTGTATGATCTGAACACAGCCCTTATGTCATACTTTTCCCAGTTGCCACTCAACAGAGCAAGGCCTCCTTTGAGATCATCCTGTATGTTCATATTGTGAAAAAAAGAGTGTTCTTCCTGCACTTTCTACTGTCCAAGTGCCTAAAACCTAAATATTCTGAGTATTAATGAAAGACAACGGAGGTGAGAAGCCAGAGCAACTCAGCATGCAATAGTATTCAGGGAAGAGAATATTACAAACAATGGAAGGAGAGTCTCACAAGAACTGCCCATGGTTCATGTAAATAAAGACCATACCAGGAACAGGCAGGCACCAATGATCTTTAGCTGGAGGAAGGGTGCAGAAGTGGATGCCATGGACCTGGACATAGTCACTCTCCCAGGAAGAGGAAATTAAGCTGGATTCTATGAAGCTATCTACAAGACTCATGACTTCCACACACTCCCTGCACTCTCTGAGGCAATGGGTGTTAGGGGTGCTTGGTGAGTCCATTGCTCAGGGATCTCCACACAGCTCAGCACATGCATTCATAGCACATATTATAAGAAAGTGGGGAAAATTGGCAGAGCCCATGGTTTGGCTGTGGGAGAGAGAAAGTTGCATCTGGAGAATAAAGGAAGAGAGGCCATCACCTCAGGACAGTAGGAGAATGTGAAAATCTTACCTACAGATGATACAAGTGCAAAAACTTCCAGCATCACATCGCAGTATAGATGTCTTTGATCCTCATCAAGGAGCCCCCACTCCTCCTGAGAGAAGGCAATAGCCACGTCCTCAAAGTTCATATCCTGTCATAATGGGGACAGTTCAACCCATGATCAGCATCTCTCCAATTATTTTATGTTTGTCATACTCCCCACCCTCCACATCTCTCCCTCTACTACCTTCATCAAAGGAGGTATCAGGCCTCTGTCCCATCAAAGTAACTCTCTCCTTATATGCCAATTGATCGTGTGTCTTCCCACAACAATAAAGGCTGATGAGCAGATAGAAGATAACTGACCTCTGGGCCTCACATGTAGACCGCACTGCCTCTTGTCAATACAGTTGATGTCCACAAAACAGGGGAGGAAGAGATGTTGGGTATAAAGGAAGTGTGAGTGATTTGACACTGGTATTATCAGGCATTCCCTTGAAGTGCCCCAGATTGTCCCTCCAAGACTCAGAAAGGCATGGCATCACACTTCACCCTTTGGAACTCACTCACAGAATGATGCTGAGTCCATCACTTTGCATTACCTGTCACATCGTTCTTTGAAACACACTCCTCTCACACAGCCTCTTTCACAAAGTCACAACTTCAAAGACAACACAAATATGCCATAATGAGGCCTGTTTTTTTTCTAATCACCTTCTTTTCCAAAATTCTAACTCACCATTCTGTAACATATTTGTCTCCTACCTTCTTCCTTCCTAATGCCAGTGGAGATTTTCAAGCCCAGGTTACACTGATGTATGCTAATGTGTTTCTAATGATCATGGTATCAGCCCTCAACAAAACTGACAGGTGTGCACATACATAACACCTAAGCTCTAGACATTGCATGTAGCATGACAACACCTCTATTTTCAGACAATTACACTAAAATTCCACCTACTATGTCATCAAGTCACCACCAAAAATGAATTCACATTTCATTCACTCTTAAGCCAATTTCAGGGCTCTGTGGCCATGAATGAACCTGCCCTCTCCAAGTGCACATCAGTCTTTCTCCCACACTCTCACACCTGGACTCCCACAGCCCCAGACTCCAGAGTCATCTCATTGACTTCCTACTCATTACTCAGCATGTATGGCCCATAGAATAAATGCCTGGCAAACTCAAACTGGAGGAAGTATTACTCCAACTGTGATAGTCCACACTAAAAGAGGCAGCCTTGAATCCTGCTATAAAGGCCTCCCTTCCTGATTGTTTTTTACTTCAACCTCACCTATTGAGAACCACATCAGATCTCAGATATCCAGAGCCCACCTTCACCTGTGCTGCACTTCATGTCCCTTCCCAAGTCACAGCCTTCATCACTCAAGTCCCATCACCTATGTTGCTCTAATCCATGCTCAGTGAATCTCACAGATGAACACTCATGCCCCTAAGCCAGTGGTTGGCAAACCGCGGCTCGTGAGCCACATGCGGCTCTTTGGCCCCTTCAATGTGGCCACAAAGTTTCAATCGCACTGTACATGTGCACCCGCATGTGGTATTTTGTGGAAGAGCCACACTCAAGGGGCCGCAGTTTGCCGACCACTGCTCTAAGCAATACCACCAAACTGACTGCAACTTCCCAGGCCACATCAATGGTCACCAAAAAAACATGTTAAGAGTTTAGAGAGTAAATATATACCAACCACAGTTTCATCTTGTTTGAAATACCATTTGGCATCCAATTAAAAACAAATAACAAAAAGGTGATCTAGAACTCCCCCACACACATTGCACTATTCGTTTAAGAAGTCTTTATATCGAATTGTTTATCAGAGTACTAGACACTCATGAACTGCTCTCTGAAATAACCTAACTGAAAAAATAAATAAATAAAATTTTTTTGTATCTCCAATGAACATTAATTTTATATTTTGAATTTTTCCATCTCAGCTGGTGATTCCATACCTCTGGCTGCTAATTTCTAACCTTCACATGATTGCTATTATCTTCCTCTTTCTCAAACTCAAAATTATAAAATCCAGGGGGGGGCCACAGCTAAAATACTAACCCAGAGCACAACTCCCACTTGCACTTCCATGAGCACCATCATGGACAAGTTACCATCACAATCACTCAGAATATCACAGCAACTTCTTTCCTAGTCTTCCCACCACCTCCCTCAGAGGAATATTGTTCATCTTGTTGCAGCCACAGGAAATCTAATGAGACCTGGGTTAGATCACCTGCCTCCACTGCTCCAATTATCCCATCACATGAAGAACCGACTTCCAATGTGACAAAGCTCCTCTAGACCTTACTCCTTCCTGTCCTATTGTTACCACTTCTCTTTTTTAATATATCCTATATAATAAAAGGCTAATATGCAAATTGACCAAACAGCAGAACAACTGGTTGCTATGACACACACTGACCACCAGAGGGCAGACACTCAGTGCAAGAGCTGTCCCCTGGTGGTCAGTGCACTCCCACAAGGGTGTGCCACTCAGCCAGAAGCCGGGCTCATGGCTGGCGAGCGCAGAGGCAGTGGTGGGAGCTTCTTCCACCTCCACGGCAGTGCTAAGGATAGCCCATTGATGGCTTAAGTTCACTCCAGAGCAGGCCTAAGCCACCACATGGATATCCCCTGAGGGATCCCAGACTGCGAGAGGGTGCAGGCCAGGCTGAGGGACCACCCCCAAGTGCATGAATTTCATGCACCGGGCCTCTAGTATAAAAATAAAAAAGGATACCTGCATGTCCCTGAACAAGTTCAGTCTTTACTCCAATTATTTGCACATTTGGCACATTTACCTGGGAGGACCTCCTACATCTCATTCCATTGGTTGCCAATATATGGGACTACTTCATACAACTCTAGACCTGTACTTAGGATTCTGGGCTTAGTGTTTGTTCAAGGTTCTCAGGCCCAAAGGCTGAAAGAGTGGCAGGACAGTCCCAGGACTCCACTATCTCAGAGACCACAAGAGTGTGAGGCTCTGAAATAAGCTCCACAAACCAGTACCACTAAGATATTCTGCACTAGCAGCAATCTGTGGAAAGATAAATGTCTGTTAAGAATCTGGCAACCACCGCCAGGATCCAAGGGCTCAGGCTGCTCAGCACGCTTGCTCAGCCACAGGCCAGGTCACCTGGAGATACCTGCATTACCTCAGGGCTTCAGTCTTCAGTGCACTTTCTAGCCTATCTTTCAAAGGGTTTCTCCTTCCTGTCCCCAACTGGTATCTACTCCCTTCTAATTTGTTCTTCCTCTGAGCAGTGGGAAAAGTTTAGAACCCTACTTCAGACAATGTCCCTCTTTTATTCTCTACCATCGATGACCCTAGGATCCTAAGAATGAAAGTAACTCCTCACACAAAATTTCGCCTCATCTTCTCTTGCCTTTGGATACAAAACAGACCTTGGTTTCCCAAATCCTCCCAGCTCAGCTACACTCACCAGAACTTTACAGGGTGGCATTGTAGCTGATACCCTTTCACCAGTGACACTGTGTATCACCCTTAAGCAACTCACTGTTCTGGACGCTGTGTCCTGGGCTTCAGGACCTGGCAGGCACAAGCACCTGAGGGTGGAGGATAAATGGAGTGAGGTTGAGTAGAACCATGTAAGCAAAACGGAGGCTGGGAGGCATAAAGGCCTCAATACCACCTGTTGCTGCTCAACAAGCTTCAGACAAATCATTGGACAGTGGGCAAAGTGTTTCTGACACCTGATCCTAGTTGTGACCCATCCCTGGAGCCTCTGACTATGTTAACAAAACCAAGAGGTCAAAATGACTACCTGGAGAAAGACTCAGGAAGTAACACCCAAATCAATCAGCACTAAATAATACCCTTGTCCTGGGCATTCATTGGCTAAAAGCAGCAATCATTAGGCGCATTGCCCATTGTAACTGAGTTTTTAAGGCCCAGCAGATGGCATTAGGATACAAATTACTGAGTAATTATTGCAAATATTGGTGTTGGGGTGCCCCAGTGGCACTGGGAAATGACAACTTTAGGATTTGGGGGTTGGTCGCAGGTTTCTGGGAAGTGCTGTCTTCAACTGATCTCTTGTTTTGAGATATCATTTCAGATTCTGAGAAACTCAGAATTCTCCGAGGTAAAAAGCATTATTTTAATTATTCCCAAAGACCACAAATCTAAATGTATATATTGTTTTTAAGCTTTTAAATTTAATTTGTAAAGAGAGGAAGAGGAAGGAAAAGAGAGAAACACTGTTTGGTGCCTCCTGCCTGGCCCACACCCACCCACTGGGCATCCACCCAAAAAACCTGGCTTGTGTCTCACCAGGAATCGAACTGGTATCCTTTCCATGCATGGTACTGCGCTCAACCCACAGACCTGTTCTAGCTATCAGAAATTTTATTTTTAACAAAAAAATCTATATATATCTACACTAATAAAAGACAAACATGCAAATTGACCATACCTTCGCTATGCCTTAAGCCACACCAACCAGCCAATCAGAGCAACTATATGCAAATTAACCCAACCAAGATGGCGGCTGGCAGTCACGGAACTGGAGCAAGCAGGAAGCTTGGTTGCCCCAATGATGAAGGAAGCCAAGCTTCCCGCCTGCCGTGGTGGCTCTGAGCTCCACTCAAAGCAACAAAGTTTCAATTATAGAAGATAAATAAACCCCAGATACCTGCTATCAGCCAGCTGTGGCCACGGAGCTGGAGCGAGCAGGAGGCTTCCCTCCTGCCCGCCCTGGCCGGCTCTGAGCTCCACTCAAGGCTACAAAGTTTCAATTATAGAAGGTAAATAAATCCCAGAATAAAAAGAAAAAAAGAAAAAAAGGAGCCGCTGAAAGCTTTCATCGCTGGGGGGCTTGGCCAGCCTGAAACGACCCTCAGCCCCTCACCCAGACTGGCCAGGCACCCAAGTGACCACCCATCCTAAAGGGTGTGG